TACACTGATGTTTTTTTAAGGTTCAGTGCCACTGCCCGGTATACATTTGCCCGATATACCTTACACTGATGTTTTTTTAAGGTTCAGTGCCACTGCCCGGTATACATTTGCCCGGTATACCCTACACTGATGTTTTTTTAATTTCAAGTGTCATTGCGCGGTATATATTTGCCCGATACTCCAAACACTGATGTTTCTTCTAATCTATCGTCAGTAAGTATTAAAATATCGAATAAATGCAATTATATCCACGAATAAATTAGTATCAAATCGGATGTAAAAAATATTTCGGACATTCACCAAAGCGACTATGTGATTGTTGTCATTCACTGGTGAAAGTCGACATTCTCCAGATTTCGGTCATTCACAAGTAACATGCATTTCTCAAAAATAAAAATGTTATTCTGAAAAAATACTGAGAGTGCCATTAAAAAACATTTATTCAAAATATGTAAAGAAAAATTAAAAGTTGTGCAAAACATAATTTATGCCTTTCTTATTGAGGGAAACAAAATTTTCATATAAAAAAGAATAAGAAATTTACCTACTTGTTGCAACATAGCAGGCTTGAATGAAGTTTTGGATTTGTCATTTTTGAATGATATTTTTTCGAATCGGAGATGTATTTTATACTTTGCCGGATTCTCGTTTGGCATTCTATAGAATGCCTAGGAAATGTGTGAAATATAAATCGTTTCATAGGTTTAAAAAATTTAAAATTTCTCCAATAAATTAAATAAATATAATTTTTTATTTACTTTATTTTATTTGGTAAAATTGGATTTATAAGATGAATTGGTCTTTAAAAAATTAAAAGCGGAAGGAAAAGCTGGACGAAACAAAATAATCTAATTATTTTTACCTACTTAAAATGTTTGCGAAGTTATGTATTGTTAGATATTACTATTAAAATTGCCAAAATAATTTTTTTAAAAAATAAGTGAAATTGAGACTAACTGAAATTGAACTTTTAAACACTTTCTTATGACCTTCGTCGCGATTTTTAAATTTCTTCCCCGATTTTCCATTTCCAATAAAAGTGTTTTTAAAAATAGTTCTTAAAAATAAATATTAATACAGATTAAATATTTTTAATATATATTTTTTAAATATAACGTAACATATTAATATAATACATTTAAATAAATATTTTTTAAAAGTATCTTTTTTGTTAAAAAAAAAGTAAAAAAATAGAAATAATCTTCGTATATTGCAAATATTTTTTTTTTTTTGCATTTATATATACAGAAAAACAGTATAATTAAAAAAATAACAATAAATTGATAGAAATACCGAAAGGTTCTCATCAGGACGCATTCCTTTATGGCAGCAAGAGAGACATTTCAATATAACGAATAATTATCCTAAGAGAAAAATCCCTCTTTATAATGCGTCTATGCCTCTAAAAATTAGAAAAATAGAATTTTAATTGAGTTTAAAACGAAAGGATAAAAGCAGAAAAAAAAACTTACCTTAGTAAAAAACATGTATTTAAATTAGATAAACTAATCTAACAGTTAGCAAAAATTGTTAAGAAAAAAATGCAATCAATGTGCTTTTAGCTTTATCGTAAAAAATTATTGGTAAAAGATATGTAAAGCAAATTACATTTCAGTGCTGCTATCTAGGAGGAAAATACTTTAATAATAATAGAGATAATTTAAACAACAAAATACATAATAGGTAAAGTAGTTGATAAAAACAATAAAATGTATTCAAATTGTAAGATCATTAAGAAAAAACATTCTAATATTTGTAAAGCTTAACATACAAGCGTAAATTAAGAATAAACCCTTTTATTGATTTTCCTTCTTTCATAGAATGGAGCCTACATACATGGATAGAAAGCCGTTTATATACTTTATCCTTCATTCATACATTCGTTCATATCAGTAAATTCTCCACATATTATCAGCATTCATCGGGAATGTCCATTTATAGGTCCCATTCATACTTATTTAAAAAGAAAAAAAAATTTTTATTACAATAGACAATTAAAATTTAAAATAATTATATTAGGTCTACAATTTAGAAGTTTACTTGATAAATAAATTTATCCAGTGTAAAAGGCCATGCATCCAAACTATTCCACCCTCTGAAATTAGGAATAGCTTATCATAATTAGTCCATACCACATAAAATTAAATCAGAGCTAATCTTAAAATCAGAAAAAATAAGCTACTTTTCTAAATGGTTCAAAATTTTATTAAAATGAAATTGAAGGAATGAATAAAGAAAATGGTTATTAATGTATCTTTTAAATTTATCAGTCTCTTTTAAAAACTCTTTATAATTGGAATAATTCCTGTGAACCTAAGAATCTGATTGGTAATAATATTGGAAAAAACCCTATTGGCTAAGTTGGAATTAAAATCGATATTTTTCTTAATTGAAAAGTTAAAATCATTTCCTCTGTCAAAAAGTTTGAATGTCATTTTCCTATCTTCATTAGTTTTGAGAGATAAATTTAGAAAATTTGCTGAAAGATATCAAATATTAGTTCTGTTAAGAATTATTTGACTTGGGTAAATTTGCCTAGCTAAAATTTCGAAATCATCAAAATTAATAACCAAATGATCATCCATAAATTTTAGAAAGAAGGAATTTGTCGGAAGAATATCAAATGATTTAACGAATCTATTATTCTTGAAAAAGCAGAAAAATCCGTTTTTGTTTGCATTTCATAGAGGAATGAATTTTCCAGAAAGCATACGAGAAATTTCTAAAGCATGGAACTATGATGTTACAGATCGTACTATTCGTAACACTTTTACTAAAGCTGGACTTTTAGTCAGCGAGGAGAACTTGGAACGAGGATGACATTCTTTTAGAAGAACTTCAAAAAATGTGGGTACAGCCAAGAGAGAACCACGAAATGAATGATGATGTACTGATTAATGATTTTCTTTTTATTAATTCTGAACCACAGAAACATTAACTGATGGGATATTTTGGACAGTGTGAAAAATAAAAACAATACAGCAATACATTGTGACGGAAATGATGAAGAAATCACCAAACCTTTATATGATTAATCATTTGAAACAATTCGATAGCAGATAATAATTTACAAGATAAAGGTGTATTCATTCCTATTTTAATTATGTCGAGTGCATTTTGCTGTTTTGCGCTGTTTAAGTATTTCAAATGATGATTTTTTATTTAACGAATTTTCCATATAACGAACTATATATANATACTTATATATTATTATTATTATTAGTAGTAGTAGTAGTAGTAGTAGTAGTAGTATTGTTATTATTATAATTTTGGTTATTTATTAATTGCCTTCTTTTTTAAACTTTATTTGAAACAAACCATTCGTTTTACCGTTACGTCAGAATGAAATAATTCTATCCTCCTACAGAAAGAAGTGAAGTGGTGCAACAGTCTATGATTGGTTGATGTCGATTGAAGTAGGTCTCTCTTTCCACCTTCATCATCCCTCTCATTAAAGACTTCCAGAAAGATCTCTTACGCTGTCAATAAATCCGGTATCTCTCTTTCCGATAAAAAATTATTATTTTTTTTTGTGTGTGAAATTGTTATAGTGTGCGAAGAAATTTCTTGGATTACATAGTAGGATTTTAATTAAATTGGATGTTGTTAGGGAATTGCTTTATTCTTCTTATTCTTGTTTTGAAAAAAAAAAAGAAGTACCTTAGATTTTATAGGAGAATTAGGATTAAATGAGAGGTTATCAGGAACTGCATTGTTTATCAGATTTTTACACAGAAAAAAGAATGCATTGGATTATGACAAGTTTGAACGGTATCAGGAACTACGTTATTTCTTACATTATTATTATTATTTAATTCGTTAAATATCTCTATAGTTGATTTTGACTAGCTCCGATGTTAATAGGAACTATTTTATTTTGTCAAATTATTACGATGTTAGGAAAAAAACTCAATTTACGTAGTAGATATTGACTATCTTGGATATTATCAGGAACTAATATGTTTGTCAAATTTTTGCGCTCTTAAAAAAAGAAATATTTTGATTTACATACTAAATTTTGACTAGTTTAAATGTTATCAATAATTTTTAAATTTTCAGAATAAAAATTCTTTGAATCATATAAAAAGTTTTGACCAGCTTAAATGTTATCAGAAATTGCATTATTTGTAAGTGCTCAATAATATGGATTATGCAAACAATGAGCTGATAATTTCATAATTAGGTTTCTTTGGTGTACAAATAAAATTGTATTATACTAAAAACATGTATCGTGGAATTGTGAGCTCTATAATGAAGAATATTTTTTTTAATATTGAAATTTTCAAATTCCTTTCTTTATTGTTATAAATAAATAATGAACGCAATAATATCTTAATTTGCTGGTGTTTATCAGCTTTTAAATGCTTTTACTGCTAAAGTACTTTGAATAAACAACTCTTACATCTTTGAATGTAATACTGTGGAAAAATATTTTCGAAATAGAGCAAGAAATATCATTTCTGGTAAGTTAAAATTTCAAATGCTTGAACAGTTTATGATAAAAAGGAAACCACGAATATTTACGTAGGACAAAATATTATTTGGCGTCTTTCAAATCTTGTACTGTACATTGTACTAGTAACAAAACTTAATTATTTTTGTAAAATTCTACATTTAACTCTTTACTATAGTAAGATGAATGAAAGAAAAGCTGTTAAAATGATAATCAAAAAAAGAGTTATCAATACAATACCAAGTTCCAAACATAAATATTTGCTCCTTCTATTCTAAAAATGGAGCCATCTCGGGATGTGGGATGCCAAAATTCGATTGAAGAATTATCGAAAAACAATTCGAGAAAAACAAATGATAATTTTCACCGTCGTGAATATCGTTCGCAGTCCGTGGCCAGTCCAGACCCCCGAAGTCCATATTTCACGCATCGCTGGATACAGACTTCGCCGAAATCCAGGCAAAATTCTCACCTCCACACTTGTTGCAGGAATGAGGAAAAAAAGAAATCGGTAATGAAAGGTTCGATTCCAGGATTGAATCTATCACCAAATAATCCAAAAACAGCCACTATTCGCCAACATTATTATCCTGAAGGTGGCTGGGGTTGGATAGTGCTGTGTTGTGCTCTTATAGTACACATTCTAGGCAATACTGTGATCTTATCAAGTGGATTCTTCATCGTTGAAATACGGAATCATTTTATGCAGGGACAGAAATCTATTGAACCAGGTAAGGACTCAATTCTATATGAAAATATATAATGTTATAATTTATACTCATATATAATTTATAGGAACATATTTGTAAGTGGGATTACTTCAAATTCGTACTGAAAAAAACATAAGACATAGGTGAAACAAAAATCCTATGGGTTTTCTTTCCCTATGTAAACTAGCTAACTTCCCGGGAATAGCCATTTTGCTTTGCGTGAGACATAGTTTATAGCATCGTTTGATCAGCTCTTCTGTTTACTTTTGGGGTGTAGTCTGATCTAGTACAAGCAGCCTCCACTGTCATTGCTTGAGGATAATTTTTTTCCCTCCAAAAATCTGAAATGGGTGGCACAATTATTTCTTTATTGTAAAGAAAACACGCATAACAACATTAATAATATTATGTTCTTAATTTATATCTCTAATAATGCAATTGATATTTTGTTAAAAACAATGAAGTGGTAACGTATAATCTTCATAACATCACTAAAAATAAAATAATAAATCTTAAACACTTACACTAGACATTGAATTTTTCAAAAGCTTTCGTTTAAGTTTATTAGATTTCGCCCTCTTATTTGGTTCTCAAATTTTGAAATCGCATGCTTACAAATCTATTATACTTTTTAAAATAATAATAATTATTTCTCCTCTATCTTTTTATGATTTTTGCAAAAGACAGAAATATAACGATTTTTGAATTTTTTCACTCCTGCTTATAAGAACTTTAATAAGAACTTTGCTAATTTTCATAGAATTACATTAAAGCATCCAAATATTGCGTGTTTTTTTTTTTTTTTCAGAAAATTTTTCTCAAATATACTATTGGTGGTTGCTGTTTTCCACAGGTGAATGTATTGACAATCACATAGTTGCCTTTGTAAATGTCCGAAATATATACTAGATTTAGTTAAGTGCCACTGCCTAGTATGACACTGCCTCCGAACACTGATGTTTCTCCTAATTCTACCTTCAGCAGATATTAAAATATCGAATAAATATAATAATATCATCGAATAAATTAATATCAAATGAGATATAACAAATATTTCGGACATTCACCAAAGCAACTATGTCATTGTTGACGTTCACTGGTAAATAAATATTAAAATGTATATTTTGCTACCCTTAGAAGAAGTCTTCCAACGGAAAGCTAGTAGCTATGCATTAATCATAGTTATTGCTGCCAACATTTGCTCGCGTTGAATTTTCCGTTTTTCTTTTTCAAATTTTTTAAAATTATTTATATGCGTTAAAATTGTTTTAAACAAATTTAGTGATCACGAAAGAATAATGAAAGTATAAATTTTGCTACCATTTTAAATATAATAAGGATTTTGCAAGTAAATATAATAAGGATTTTACATATGTTTAAAGGTTTTTGAAAGGGGAACTGGGCGAGTTGGCAGCTATAGTAATATAAATTACTATGTTACAGAAAACTGGTCAATCTTTACGAATTCAAAGAAAAAAAAATTCACTACGATTTTAAGGTTTGATTCTAGGTTTAAATAATTTGATTTAAAATGTTTTTAACTAACAAAATGTATGAATTTTTCAAATATGTTTAGATAAAGAATCTAAATAAAATACGGTTACTTTCCAGTGGTGGAGAAATCAATATAAATTTCACTTGTTTTTAAAACCTTCTTCCACTCAACTATTTTCATGAAGCAAGTTTATTTTTTGATTCTACATACATTTCCTTTTTTCTTCTTCAAAATAGTTGCCACGTTCGTTTAAACTCTTATCATACTTTAAAACTAGATTTGGAATACTCTCTTCATTGTAACTTGCTGTCATCTTCGGTAACCAAGAGATCACACGTCTTCATCATCGTTGTACTAGTTGCGAGCCGAAATGATGTTCGAAACATCAGAAAAGATGAAAAACACTTATAGAGCAAGGTCTGGGCTGTATCGAGAGGTAGTCCAAAACTTCCCAGCCAAAAGAGTCTAATAAAGCTCGGGACTGAGCTGTGGAGAGAGAGAGAGAGAGTCATGGTCGTGACAGTAGGAAGCTTCGTAAACATTGTAAGCCCTCGTATATGACAGTGATGCCAACTGGATCCTCTTAGTCAGAAAACTTTTCCCGGTGGTAGCAAAATTTATGATGAAATTTTTAATTTATGTTTTTGTATTTTTGATTTAAAGCTATTGAGTTCATCACTGCAAACAAACAAACAATTCAAAAGCTCAAATAAAACGCCACTTATAGTTTAAATTATTTTGGGCTACAAGCGGCTCCAGGTGGCCATTTGAAAGATCGAAATCAGATCAGGATAAATTATTTTGGGATGAGCCTTTACGGTGAAAGTACATGTGAACTGAGCCGAGTACAAGGTGAAATGAAATAAAAAGTTCTTAACTGTTAGTTTTTCCACTTTATAATCTCTTATGCCGGGGTGGTTCAGGGGATTGATAGCTCGCTTCCTAATGAGGTGAACCGGATTCGAATCCCAGCGATGACGGTCGTTTCGAATTCCGCACCTGGCTCGCACTGACCACAGTGCTGATGCAAAATATCCTCAGTGGTAGACGGATCGTAGGTTAGTCTCCTAGCCATTCGATTAACCATGGAAGGTTTTCGTTGTTTTCCTCTCCATGTAGCGCAAATGCAAGTTAGTTTAATCAAAAAGTCCTCCACAAAAACAAATTTCCCCCAATACTTGATACAGGAGTTCCCTTGTCTTCTGGATAGGGTTCAAAATGACAAGACTATGGAGTTGAACATGGGTAGTTGTAAAGCCCGAAACTGGGTCGGCTGTTCAACGACGGTTATAAAATAAAATATCTTATGCCGAAACCAAAGGCATTCCTGGTTTAATGGTAAATATAAAGGCTTTGCTTAACCAGAATAAGCGCGTTAATAGTGCGAACTTTTAACAGTTTGTTGGAAAATTTCCTCTGGTCGTAGCAAAGTATATGTTTTAGTATACGATTCTTTGCTTAGTAAATCTGACTTCCTCATCACGATGTGAAAATGATTCAAAAGTTCATTTTGTCACAGTGGTCTTAAAATGTTGGTGAAATTGACCAAAATCTTGATTTTACTATCGTTTANCTGTCGATGAAATGACCCTGTAAATGAAAAGACCCTGTGGACGAAATGACCCTGTAAATGAAAAGACCCTGTCGACGAAATGACTTGTCGACGAATGACCCTGTCGACGAAATGGTCTGTCGACTAAACAACCCTGTCGAGGAAACGGCCTGTCGACGAAATGACCTAGTCGATGAAATGGCCTGTCGATGAAGTGGTGTCGATGAAATGGCCTGTCGATGAAGTGATTGTCGATGAAATGAACCAGACCCAAAATATCCTCAGTGGCAGACGGATCATAGGTTAGTCTCCTAGCCATTCGATTAACCGTGGAAGGTTTTCGTTGTTTTCCTCTCCATGTAGCGCAAATGGGAGTTAGTTTAATCAAAAAGTCCTCCACAAAAACAAATTTCCCCCAATACTTGATCCAGGAGTTCCCTTGTCTTCTGGATTGGGTTCAAAATGACAAGACTATGGAGTTGAACATGGGTAGTTGTAAAACCCGAAACTGGGTCGGCTGTTCAACGACGGATATAAAATAAAATATCTTATGCCGAAACCAAAGACATTCCTGGTTTAATGGTAAATATAAAGGCTTTGCTTTACCAGAATAAGCGCGTTAATAATGTGAACTTTTAACAGCTTGTTGGAAAATTTCATCTGGTCGTAGCAAAGTATATGTTTTAGTATACGATTCTTTGCTTAGTAAATCTGATTTCCTCATCACGATGTGAAAATGATTCAAAAGTTCATTTTGTCACAGTGGTCTTAAAATGTTGGTGAAATTAACCAAAATCTTGATTTTACTATCGTTTACCACTCTAAAAAATTTTTTTGCACAAAAAGTGTAGTAGCTGTCAGCTCTGATAATGAAATGATTTTGCTATTGTTTAATAAGAATGATCTGTTTTTCATATGATGACACTGGACTGGACTTATCACTCGACCCTTCTTTTTACCACTGGCTGCAAAAAGAGTACAAGTTGATTGTTATAATTATTCTCCTGATTGCAGGCCTGGCAACGCTTTTTTGAAAGATATTTCATAGAGTGGTAGACATTTAAAAATCAAAGATTTCCGATTTTTCGGTAATTTTGCCAACATTTTAACAGCCTCACCACGAAGGAGTTGGAACAACGTAGCTTTGCATATGAACTTTTAAATTATTTATGTATAGTGGTGTAGAAAATAAGTTTATATGAATAAAAAAATTATTCAATGAAAGAAACATAGTAACCACTAGAAGTAACTTTTTACAAAAAGAGTGGAAAGTTGGCAGCCCCTGTAATTGTCGTCAACCCATATCATAATCTCCAACAACTACCAGATTTATGTTAATTCAGAAAATATTTTTCTTTATGGTATAAAAAGTAAAGTATTATAAAAGAACTTCATCACAATTAATTTAAACAGATATACTACATGTAAATAGCAAATATACAATTGTCTCCAATGTATATCATACCTACCACTTTATCAAAAAGTGATTTCTCGAAGTGGTAGCAGAACGTAATTTTAAAATTAATTGTGCGTTTTTATATAGTTTGCCTAACTTTAAACACATCAACTTATGCATTTTTCTAAATGTTTGTGTCATCTGTAGTGGTAGTAAAAAACATTTTTCATTAAATGTATAAATTCAAGAATAAAATGAAAAAGTTTTACTATCACTTTAAATATAAAAAATTTCGGAGAAGAGATGGTATTGTAATTCTAAATATATGATCCACGTTTCGGTACCCACCTCCATCAACCGATCCATCGGTGGAATTTTAATTAATATTTAAATTGTCATGCTGACGTCTTTTGTGCTGCGTCCGATAGTCAGAGACGATATTTCCCTCGTTGAAGTGTTGCAGTTTTTTAATGTAATGACTGAGCTGCTTTGATGGTCATTTCATTTTCGTCCTTCATGTGTTTTTAGCATACATCGCGTTGTTTTGGGAGATATCGAATTTGTGTCTCTGAGATACT